TGAAGGGCCTAGGTAGACGGGAACTTCTCAAATGTATGAATGAAACAAACAGAAACATGTAATACTCTCCAATGAATCAAATAAGCAAAGCAGCATGCAACATCTTTCCACAACTCCACCAAGTCATTTTACATTCAACTCAGTCGAATTATCATACATTCAACCTCGCTCGAATCATTTTACATTCGAATCGCTCAAATTACTCGACATTCAACTCAGTCGAATTATCTTACATTCGACCCGCTCAAATTACTCGACATTTGACCGCTCGCTCGAATTACCCGACGTTCGACCTCGCTCGAATCATTTTACACTCGACTCACTCGAATTACCCGATATTCGACTCAGTCGAATTATCTTACATTCGACCTCGCTCGAATCATTTTACATTCGACTCGCTCGGATTACTCGACATTCAACTCAGTCGAATTATCTTACATTCGACCCACTCGAATTACTGGACATTCGACCTCGCTCGAATTACTTTACATTCGACTTGCTCGAATTACTCTACATTAGACCTCACTCAAATTATTTGATTTTCGACCTCATCAAACCTCAACCTCGTTCGAGATAATTAATACTCGGTCTCAAGTCGGTCTACGTTCGACTTCGCCAAAATCAACATCACATACAAACGACCGAAAAATCAGGGACTTCCCCACATAGCGAACCAAAAAAAAAGAGGAGAACGAGAATCCGGAAATACATAGCAAAAAAAGGCAATTGTTCCATTTCAATTGTCGGATTACAATACTTTTTACAAAGAGCTCGAAGACGCACTCACAAAAATAGCAAAGCAAAAAAAACTAAGTACAAAAGCTTCACGCCACATCATCCCCATCATCATACCAAGGATCAGAGGCAAGCCCATCCGCGGCGTCGTCATCCTCATCCCCGCCAGGTGTACCAGGGTCGTAACCACAAGCTTCACGGGCTGCACGTGCCTTGACACGGACGCCCTCAAGCTCCACCTAGGAAACTTTCCCGACAGCCTTCAAAGACTTGTACACGTCAAGTTGAGCCTCGGCATAGACCCACATCTCATACAACTCCCGCGGCACACCAGGATCGGCAGAAATATGAGATGTAGACGATTGTGCTTGTCGTCGTGTCTCCTCGGCCCTCAAGACAACGACTTGCTCATTTAACTCGGACAACTCCGCCTCCAAACCCTGGATTCATTCTTCCAACCTCGCCACCTTGAGCGCCAACGTCTCCGCCTCGTTAGCTCGCTCGGACCTGCAAATACGGAGGGTGTCATCTAGGGCCGTCGCCTCAGCCGCAGCAGCCATTCTGACTTTCTCAGCTCAATCCAACTCTTCGATCTTGGAACTCAATTTATTCCATAAATCGACGGCCTTTGCCTCCCTCTGCTCGAGTTCAACCGTTAAAGACGCCACCTGCGCCTGAAGATCAGCATTCTCGGCCGTCACTCATTTGCTCACCTCGAGCTCGTCTTCCTTGGTCTTTAGCGCTGCCTCAAGCACATTGCAGCTACTGATGGCCCTCATAAGTTCCTCGTGCCTCTCCCTCAGCTCTTCGTCCTTCTTCTTCAGCTCCTCCTCCCTCTGCTTGAGCCCATCACGGAGCGACTGAAACTGGCCATCCTGGCTGAGAAAATCGGCTAGCGTTCGGTGCTTGGTACGGTATTCTCGTTACTTGGAGGTCATCTTCTCAAAAATGGCCGTCCTCCTATCCTCCCGCCGGTCACGCTCAATCTCCATAATAAGGGTCTAACATGCCAAAAAGAAAAAAAAGAAAAAAAGAGAGAAGAGGTCAGTGTAAGCAAGATACACATACAAAACTAACCTAACATAGGAAAAGCAAACTTACTCGCAGGGCCATGCCAGATATACCCAACGACAAGTCCGCATCTTTTAGCGTATGTAGCGTCCTATTCTCGGAAGCCGCGCACAAGGGAGCAAAGGCCGACACCACCCGTTCTGAGTTGGCCAAAAGGTCGTAGTCCACGGTAATGACTATATGCCGGTTAGGACCCTCCGTCCTTATCTCCACACGAGTAGTCCTCTCTATGAAGGTCCGTACCTCCTCAGGGTCGACGTCCAAACCAGAGTCATCATCCCCCACAGGGACAACTCTACCTCCCCCGGCCACCGATGATGAGCCACCTTCAGCGGCCCGCGTAAGCACTCCGCTACCACGAACCCCCTCAACCTTAGAGGGCCTCTTCTTCCTAACGACACCCGCCGTAGAAATGGCCTCAACGTCTGGTGTAAGCACCGTTTCTGCTTCTAAAGCAATGAATCTCTTCGGCTCATCAGCGACAATGGCCTTCCCGATCTCAACCCTTTGTCTTTTCCTCGGCGATGCCTCCTCACCGTGAGATGACTCGTCCCCAAGATGAAAAATAGGCTAAGAAGAGATCTCATCCGGCACAGTGACAATTTGAAGGGCGGAGTCCCTCAATGGCGGAACTTGAGTCCGACCTCCTCGAGCGGACTCAGCTAAAGCAAACTGCATTCCAGCTAACGCGATGGCATGGTGAAATACAGGGACTGGAGCCCTCGCCTTTTTGGAAACTCGTCGACCTGGCACCAAAGGAAGGTCTCATCAAAAGGCAATAAGTTGGAAGGGAGGAATAACACTTACTGGACGAAGTCTTGGGTCCAAAGCGCTTGTGAAAGGACGCCTAGTCACGAATTTCCACAGTGTGGGGTAACACGCGAGCCACCCAATCTTCAATATCGAAGACGGGAGAAGGTATACGCCTCTTAGCTGAGAACAAGGAAGCCGTGAGTGAGTCAAAAATGAAAAAAGAAAGAAAATAATGAACATATGACAAGATACTTACGATTATAGTTCCATTGCTCGAGAAACCCGGTCAGATTTGCCACCAGATGCTCAGTCTTGATGAAGAAATACTTATGCCAAAACCGCCGGTTCGCCTTATCGTTCATTCCGGGCACCAACCCTTTGATCCCACAATGCCGCAGATCTATCAATGTGCCTCTATAAAAGCTGGGCGAGAATAGATGCAGCAGGTGGTGAATATTGACCTCACAGCCGGCCAACTCTGCGTACTTCGTCAGCATCAGAAAAACTTTGTATAAATAAGGGGAAAGCCGTACCGGGAAGACGTTGTAAAAGAGACAAAACTCCTCCTCTAATGGGGAGAGGAAGAGAATAACCAACTAAGAATGGATAAATGTAGAAAGCACAATATCCGGATCGCTGAACATGTACTTTGTCACCTCCCGCCGGAACAATTTCGACGTGAGAAGGAATGCGATATTTAGACCGGAGGTCGGCTATTTGAGGCGGCCCCGTATCAGAAAGCTCCTGAGCAGGAGCAGGAGCAGGTTCCTTTGGGAAGTCATTTCTGACCAAAAGGTTCTTGGGGACCACCTCCTCCATGGTGAGGAAGTTTTCTTCCTCTTCAACCATGAATTCCTCACCGCCGGGAGGAAGGGCCACCGATAAAGGAGGGGCATCGGAGACTCCACCGTGAATATGAGGGGATTTTGACATATTTCTGTAGTGAAATGTGTACACAAAGCCAAAAGAAGAAGGTATCAACTGGGAAAGAAATCAGGGACTAGAATTGAAGAGGCTGCAAGAAATCGGAAATGGAGATCGGAGAAGAAGATCAAAGAAGAACAATGTGCATATGAAATGAGAAATGCTGAAAATTTTCGAAAATGAAGCCCCCCTCATCTATTTATAGGGTTGGGTGACACCAGAATCGAGGCAAAGGACCGCCAATGGCACTAAAATCGAAGCGGCAGAAGCACATACACTGCATTGGGAAGACGCGTAATGATGACGCGCGTGGCCATGACGTCATCCTCTGTTAGCCACACCAATCGCAGCCCGCTGGCCACGCCATCTTTTCGACCTCGGCCGATTCGATTCAATCAACACAACCAAATTTCTTCTGAACAGTTGCAGACCGGATCCGCTCATCGAGGACGTCCAAGATCACGACCTCAACAAGCAGAGGGACTAATTGTATTGGTCAAAATTTGGACGACTTGATAACTGCAAATAAACATGGTTGAGGATAGAGCCGACCACGGCACAGTGGCGAGGAGTCGTCTTAAGAGGGATTAGTGCCGAGGTCAAGTAAATGGAGCATGGAAGCAACAGTAGAATAAGTTTAAGAATAGACAGAAGGAATATTCCATTGGATATTCTTTATGTTGTGCTTTTTAGGGTTTCTTATCAATATCCCTTATAAATAGGAAGAGATAAAGAACAAAAGGGGGATCTTCACTTTTTTGATAAGAGCACATTGTAAAGTTGACTACAAAGAATATACGATAAGCTTATCTTGTCCACTGATTACATTGTTCGATATACGCTCTTTGTTTACAAGATCCAAAGATTCCTTGTCCATCTTCACTTTCTATTATTCCACGTTGTCGTCAGGAAGGAGAATCATCCAAGTCACCTAACATTTGGGTGATAAATTCCTTCTTATTACATTTATTGTCATTATCTACATTTATTGCATGCTTTCATTGCCATATTCATTGACAATCATTGAGCATTTGTAGTTGGTATACTACACTTTCGGATTCAACCCTACATCATCCATACATCTAAAAGATAGATCTAGTGGTTATTATATCTAACTAGGATTCACCCTCTAATCTATCATTAATTGGTTTTAAAAAAAAAGGTTTAGCACTTTTTTGGTAAAATAATATACTTGTTTATCCCACATTATATCAATCAAATGAATAATTGAAACTAAAAAAATGATATAAAAGAATGGAGGAATGTTGCAGAAAGCTACGTCAAGAGCCAAAATTTTAGAGCGGTTAATATAACTACATTATCCCTAAACCTTTGACACATGTGTATCACCCTGGGTCTCAAAACACAATTGTCAATTTCGCATCCATGTCCTCCTATAAGCTAGTTATGTTCATAGCACGGGTTTTTAGAGGAAAGATATTCGTTGGTTAGGACTTAAAGTGTTCACTTTTTTCATAGATGAATGATTATAATATATATTTAGGATATACATCAAGGACCAAAATAGTTGAACCACATACGTTAAGGACCAATTTTGATCATTTTCTCGTCGGCGTGCGCCAATTGCCAAAACGGCTTCGGCCGACGTGGCTGTACTTTGAAAAGATCGGTCAAGCATCAGAGCAACAGTAACGTACATCCAAAACCCTACTTCAATCTTCTCTGAAATTCCTCCTCGTACTTTTATGCTTCAACCCTAAACCCTTCGTATAATGTACGCTATAGCTCGGTCACGATTGCGCATTCCTTCCTTAATTTCAAGGAAAAATCGACGCTTTTCATCAAGCATTATCGCAGATCCTCCTAAGGAACCAATAATCTCTTCCTCTAATCTCCTCAAAGACCAGCCTCCTCCACCTCCACTGCCCGAACCTTCGGCCACCGGAGCCGAGAAGAATTCATGGAATTTTCTCAAGTACAGCCTCGGTGCTGCCTTCACCGGTGGTGTTGCCACTGCTGGTTACGCTACCTACGGTACTTTGCTTTATTCTTTTCTGTATTCTTCCACTTCATTTAGGACTTCTGATTGTGCCATTTGTATCGTCATCCGTTTCAGTATTACTTGGATCGATAGAGGATTTTGTGCATATCGTTTGTACTCAAATTGAATGTGTGATTTTTGATGCAAGACTGAAAAATCGCAAGGAAGAAGAAGAGAACTATGGGCTACACTATGATCCCGTCTGGATTAGCTGAATTTAAGTAGTTTTTAAGTGCTGGAGCTGAATTTATCATTAAAAAGAAGGTCAAAATAAGCCATTGATATGTTAAATAAGCTCCTTTTTGTTAAATTATTGAAATGTAATTAAAACTGTTAGTACTAAAATGATCTTATCATTATTATAGTATTTTCAATTTTAAATTAATTCAAATGCTACAATAATTTGTGTCTCCATCCTGTTTATGTTATAAATTGATTGGGTAAGTTTATTTTTAACAAATGCAACGTATCTATTCAAATAACAGAAAATAGTTATTAATTTGACTAATTAAAGTTTGTTAGTAAATATCAGCATTTTCCTAAATACAGCCAATAAGTTGAAAAATATGGTGAGACAAAAGTGTCATCAAAGTAGACCATGAATTTGTATCTTACCATAGGAAAACACAAACTCTCAATTTATAGTTCAAATCTAGCAGGGGAAATAGTGAAATATATCAAGGAGAGAAATTGCGCTAACTACATATCTCTATGACTCTATCCTCAACTTGTGCAATTTAAATATTTGCTAAATCATCACAAGCAAAATCTAGGCTTCATTTGCTCTATAAGGGTCAGCCTAAGAAATAGCAAAAAAGTGTTCTCCTTTGTTCCCTATGAGCAAACTATCATAGGCACTGTGATAGCAAAGAGGATAGCAACGACAATGGAAGCAGCAATAGAAAGAAAGTGGAGTTGGGGTTTTTAATCATTTAATGAGGGAAGGGTACTTTAGAAATTGTAAAAACATGTAACGGATAATAAGATAAATTATTTGGTCAAACCTAAATAGCTTTAAGCTAAAAATCTATAGGTTGGACATCCCCAACTTAGGGCTTTTGGCTTGTTTTGGCTTAAAAGCACTTTTGGAGTTTTACTATCACCAAAACAAGCCAAAGAGTGCGTTTAAGCTGGTCGTTTGACCAGCTTTTAGCCCATTGATAGTTTGGAAATGAGATGACTACAAGATTAAAGCAATGCTTGCTGCTAAAGGGGACATACTCTGCCATATTTGTAACTGAATTTTGGACTGTCAGCTTAAAAGACAAAATGAACTGTGCTCCATTGACCCTCAGAAATTTCTAGGTTACAAAAAGAAGAAGAAGAGAAAGAGTATCAATTGCATAAAAAGAGGAAAGCAGTTAAATTAAAAAGAAAGAGATAAACTATCTGCAGGCTAAAAATATAAAATATTCATGATATGGGCTTGTTTTAAAGCCTTTTCTTTTAAACCTCTCATAATTGTTACTAGGCAGACTGTTGCTTTGATTGTAGCTTAGTACATTGTTATTTAGTTTGGCCAACAGTGGGTTTATGTCCTGTTGCTCTTAATGGATTTGATATGTTGATTTGGAATAGTCTATGTGAAAAATTCAAAGGGCGCAAGGGACTGATACTTGGAAAGATTGAAAGGCTGTCCTTTGTGATTAATTTTCTGTTGGTGTTATGTGCATATCATTTCGTGAACACTGACTATGCTTGATTTACAGCATATACGTTGGATGAAGTTGAGGAGAAGACCAAGGCTTTGCGTGCATCTGCAAACTATACTGCTGGTGATAATGCATCTGGTGTTGATGTTAGTCTGGGTCTGCTCTAATGTATTTGCACTGAATGTGTTTATGTTATCCTGAGCCTGTAGAATAATGACAAAGTAGTTGTTTATTTGGAGTTATGAGGAGTATCGCAAGGTTAAATCTAAAAGGAAAGAGAATAGAAAAAAATAGACAGTACATATAAACAACATTTGGCTTGAGGCAGTGGGGGATAGATTATTCATGTCTTAGCTTCAACTAAGACATGTCTTAGCTTCAACTATCTACTTAATCATGTGTTTGGTTTGTGGTTACCTTTTTCTTTTTACCTTGTCAGTAAACGAGGACTCGTCAAAAGTTGAAAAAGAATATGAGTGAAATGGTAGGATATGTGAATGCCATTAGAACCTGGAGTATGTACTGCTCAAACAATGCAGGCGTATTGGCAGTAATTGTTTGAAACTTTAGCATGGGCTCATGAATTCACACCTTTGGCCAATTTGATCCGCCGGAGAGATAATCGGCCGCCCTTTGTGATGTAATTTAAAAATCTCAGCCTTATCAAAAAATGAATTAGAATCTTGAGAAAATTTTGCATTTCTCCACCATTATAGACAATCCCATCCATATTATCTATTTTATAGAATTCAAACTTGAACCTCATTCTAATTTTATTACAATTCATTATTTGTATGGTAAGGGTGTTTACTGTTTGTTCTTGATTCAACACGCTTCCAAGTTCCATTTTAGTGTCGGAGTAGATATTGTTACTTTCTCTCGTCCACGGAAGAAGAACCTAATCATTTTCCTTCCAATTCTTTTCGGGAGAAAGGTGGGATTGAAAAGAGCTCGAGTGAATGGAAAGGACAAAATAAAGGATAAATTTCACTCACCTGACACAGACTATAACATTATCAATGCTAGTCGTAGTCTAATTTATGATCATGAGGATTTTGTTCCGAATAGTGATAGAAGTGTTGATATTGTTCCTCCATTATTCACAAATTTTGATTATTGCGCAATATCATGACGGGTCAATAAAATTGGTTTATACTTTTTCAAATGAACAATGTGAAGACATATAATTGTTTGCGGAGTTGATCATTCGGACCTTTCAATTCATAAATGTAGATTTTGAACCTCTATGAATGGAGATTCATTAGTTATATGGTATTTATAATCCATCGACGCGATGGGCTTCATTTGGTTCTCGTTGAGAGTACTGCTATGAACAACAACACCAAACCTAGTGTAATCCCACAAGTGGTGTCTGGGGAGGGTAGTTTGTTCGCTGATGTTACCCCTACCTTGTGAAGATAGAGAGGTTGTTTCTGGTAGACCCTCGGCTAAAGAAACACTAAACAGGAAGCAACCAACAATAACAACAAGAAAAAACAAAGACACTACGTGTAATAACAAAGATCTAAAAATAAGAAATACAAGAATAATACTAACAATACTGGTAAGAATGACACAATGTGGAATAACAAAGATCTAGGAACACGAAAATGTAAGAATATTACTAATACTACCGGTAAGCTTAGAAGAAACTCTCGACTGCCTATCAACCTTAATTCTAGACCTCCACACCTTCCTATCGAGGGTCATGTTCTTGGTAAGCTGAAGCAATGCTATGTTCTGCCTAATCATATCTCCCCAATACTTCTTTGGCCTACCTTTACCCTCCCTCAGACCCGCCATGGTCAACCTCTCACTCCTAATCGGAGCATCGATATATCTCCTCATCATGTGCCCGAACCATCTCAGCCTCGATTCCCGCAATTTGTCTTCCATTCCCACCTTGTCCCTAATAACTTCATTCTTAATCTTATCTTTCCTGGTATGCCCACACATCCATCTCACCATCCTCATTTCTGCTACTCTCATATTCTAGACAGAGGATTTCTTGATTGGCCAACACGCAGCACCATACAACATAGTCGGTCTAACTACCACTGTAGAACTTGCCCTTAAGTGTTGGTGGCACATTCTTATCACACAAAACACCAGATGCGAGCCTCCATTTCATCCACTCCGCTCCAATACAATGTGTAATATCCTCGTCAATCTCCCCGTTGCGTTGGATAACAGACCCAAGGTACTTGAAACTATCTCTTGGGAATGACTTGTGTATCAAGCTTCACGTCCACTTCTGCTTCCTGCGTCAAACAACAAACGTCATTGGTTAGAGTGCTGCTATCAAACAACAAAAGTCATTGGTTCAAATTCAATAGGAGGTAAAGCATATTTATTTATAATGGATAAGTACCAATACGCGATTTGGGGGGTGGGGGTGGGGGTGGTGATCCATTATGAGCGAATGCATTAACCAATCATTTGTTTATCTCTTAATGGATTGGTGCGTCTTATCTGTTTATTTAGATTTGGCAGTTTTACTCGGTTAGCTCTTCTTTTTGAAGAAATTTCATCATATCTGGTTGCCTATTCTTTTTGCAGAAATTTCAAGCTTTGCTATACTCCTCTGCAATGACAGGTTTATTTTATTTCCTAGTTCTCTCCATCTTATCCAAGAACATGAAGTTATGCCAATGCTACACATTGCCAGCTGTGTGCAATATATAGAGATTATACACATTACTTCATCAAAAGAAATATACATATAATACACATTATCCTCTTCAACTTTTTTCTCCTATTTTATTTACTTATATATTTATTTATTTTAAGCACTAACATGCTGATTTTATGTTGCATGATATGTCTAGCAACTAGTCAGGCAGGTGGACATAAACTTCTGTGTTCCCTATATTCATGAATTTTCCCATTGTTGGCACATCAAATCATGTGTTGCACTGTTGGGGGGGGGGTGGGAATTGTCTGTCCTGTACATTTAATGTGAATGAATTTATGGGATTATCCTTGCAATGCCTCATATTGGAGCCTATGACATGGTTTACTACATAGCTCATTGACATGATCCATGGGATTAACTATGTCCCCCATTCCAGAACTACTGATTAAAAACAGAAAATAAAAAAACGTGTGCTCAATTCTTGATTTTTCCCGGGTTGTGGTCTTAATGGAAGTAAGTATAAGGAAGGATGAAACCACAATTTTTAGGACGTAATTTTATTTTTTCTTAATTATGTTGATAATTTTTTTTAATGCATTCTTTAGTAATTTTGTGGGTTAATCTTGACCCTGTTCTCCGGTTTTTATGTTGCTGTATTGATTCTCTTCTGAAAATTGCAGTGTCTGCCAAGTTAGTTGAGCTTTACCTAGATCTTAGGCGCCTGACTGAAGAACAAGTTCGAGTTGAGTAATTATGCAACTTTTTTATTTTTATGCCGTGTAGCTTTTCTAAGTCTTGTTCTTCTTGCATATTGTCTCTTCCCAATTGCAGCTAAGATCTTTTTGACTGCTTTAGGGTTTTAGTGAACCAATATCGGACAAGCTCCTGCCAGATTTGCATCCATTAGAGCAGCATGTCTTCACCCTTGTTCTTGATCTGAGTGAGACATTGGTCTACTCTGACTGGACGGTAAAATTCCTATTCATAAACAAGATGGTTTTTCATTTAATTGTGGTAGTTTGAACCAACTGTCGTTGCTTTTCGTGGTTCACGGAGGTTTAGTCATTAGGTTCTTCCTACCAGTAGAGCTTCTCCCTCCTCAAAGCATTCAGATTGTTTTATCATTTCATATTTCTGTCATTAATATGACTTTTTGTCCCCTAAAAGCGTGAGAGAGGCTGGAGAACATTTAAAAGACCCGGGGTTGAGGCTTTTCTGGAACACTTGGCTCAATGTTATGAGATCATTGTATATTCGGACCAACAGAACATGGTACTTTTCACTTCCTTCCTAGTGTCTTCTGAATTTTGTACCAGTTATGTATTTAAAACTTCTGCCTTTGGCATTTGCAGTATGTTGATCCCATTATTGATAGATTGGATTCAAAGCAGTGTATCCGGTATAGACTATCAAGGGGTGCAACTAGATATGTTGGTGGCAAGCATTACAGAGTAGGTGGTTTTGCTCATTCTCAAAATTTTCCATTCATTATTGACTTCTTTATGTATCTTAGAGTCATTTAGTTGGTCAATGTCCTTCGTACTTACAATTCCTTTACTCGTGTTTTCGTCTGTGTCTGCGTGGTTGGAGTTAACCAAGAAAAAAATCGCATTATGGACGTTGCGTTATAGTTGGAATAATGGAACTTGTGAATCCTGTAGAATACTTTTACTCCCATATATAAGTCTCTTCCTCTTTAGTCAAGTCTTAATTTTCAATGATTTTGCTATTGAAACTTCTATACTAATGGTTTTTCTTTCTGTAAGATTTTGAGTCATAGTTGGCGTTCTGTGGACTGTGAGTTTCCTTCATGAAAAGCTTTATGTGATCTGTTGACAGACTCCAATGCCTACCTTGGGGGTGAGGGTTTGTTTGGTATTTGAGGTGAAGTTGAATGGTGTTTGGTTGTCCCAAAATGGAGATAGTCTAATGGAGTTATGTAAATTAAATTCAGGAAAATACAAGAGAGCCTTTTAACAAAATAAAAGTTAATTGGAGAAGTATTAGATCAAACAATTTATGTTATTCAAATTGATTTTCTTAACCAAGACAAGTTAATCTGCAAGAGAGAAAGAGTTTTCTGTAACTGCCTATTTGGTAATACGGTAAGATGAAAGAGATTCCAACAAACATGGATCTGTAGAGTAACATGGAGATAAGACAACAATCAAAATGAAATATTGAGTGCTAGCTACTAAAATTCTGACGTGATTATAAGGATATAATGATCCAATATGCCCTTATATAAATACTCCATCCATTCCAATTTGATGTTCTTTACTTTTTCCCCATTTAAAAAAATTGTCACATTTCTAAAATTTAGAAACTATTTAGTCTGCAACATTCCCATTTTTAGTGACATGTTCCTTCAGAGATTGACATGATATGTTGTACTAACATTCTTCTCTACTTTACACAAATTTAGCTTGTGTGTTAAATATCTTCGTTTCCTTCATAAATTCGGTTTGCATTCAAATACTGCCAAACAAAATGGAAGGGAGTACTAAATTGTAGGGTGGAAAAAGGTACTTTTATAAATCTGGTAGGCGTCTGGAATAATGCAATCGACTAAATTAAATGACCTAAATTTAGAAGTAGATCTTGGTGAAACAGAGAGGTTGTCAACTTCAGAGCCTCAAATGCACAAAATTGTGGACAATTATTGCGAATAAACATGACATCATATACAATAAAAAGGATTTCATACTCTTGAATAAGGAATCAAACTGTTAACTGATAGTTAGTCCTTTAATTTATATAATAAAAAGGATTCCATACACTTGAACAAGGAAACAAATTGTGAACTGATAGTTAGTCTGATTAAGAAATTGGAGGAGACAAATTTCAGGTGAAGAAAATTTCCCCTGGGGATGCTTAATTGTTAGACTCATTACTGTGAATATTGTCTAAAGTTAGGAAGATGATTGGAAATTATACTGGCAATGAAGAAAGAGAATCTGTATTCATCCTAGTTCAGGTGAGCAACAGAGTAGTATGCGAAGCTATTTTATAAAGATGAAAGTACAGAACAAGGAGGGAATATAAGATGTTAATAAGAGTAATTTCTTGTTATGGCCCCCAGGTCTGTGGTCTAAAGGTAAGAGCGCAACGCGTAATGTGTGGGTGAGGTGTACATCACGGCCACAGACAAATGCTTGGTATTTAAGTGGAGGAGAGTAGAGGGGCGGGCCCACTATCCACCTAGTTTTGATTAACTGTGCACCACTGGCCCTTGGGGATTTCTCGGTTATCAAAAAAAGAAAAGAAATGAAAAAGAGTAATTTTCTGTAAATCACGTGAACAGGTATATACTTTCCTGCATTTGTTTGCTTGTGTAGAGTTACCTTGAAAGGATTGATCAAGTTCAGAAGCAACAAGCGGTACCCTTTTTTTTTTGATAAGATGGAAGGATCAAGAGGTACAATCATAAAGATGGAAAGTCAAAAGGTGCAATTAAACAGATTATCACACTGGTTCAGGGTTCAGGAAGGCTTATATTGAATGAGAAATTGAGATACAGGATTCAGGAAGAAAAATTTTCCAGTGTAACTTTACTTGGTAAATGTGATAGATGTGGTTCTTTGATCTTTTTAGCCAAAAGGTCCCCCAAATTAGCTGAATTACTGTACCTTTAGACAGTGTATTATGATACATCTAGATCCCAAAGTATGGCAGTTGATAACTGACACTTTTCTCTGGATTTCAGTAAGAAGGTAACCTTTACTGAGTTCTTCAACTGTTTGCTGAGAGGCTTTAGCATCTAGCTTAGCTTTCAATATATAGAGCTACTTCCTTAATGCGTGAATGATGTCTTCCTCTTAGAAGTTTGTTTTAGTCATCGGGCATGTAGGTTTTTCAAAAGCTGCAAATGAATTTGGTAGAGGATGGGGCAGTACGGAAAGGAAAAATGTGGAACCTAATAGAAATTACTACTAGTTGGACCCACAAAAAAAAAGATTTTTTCTATCTATTGTGTGATGACTTTTTCTTCTTCTCAATCATTCAAGATATGATGTGAATTAATATATTACTGAATCTAATGAGTTAAACTTAAATTAAAAGTAAAAAAGAATTTTTCTTTAGAGGTTTCTTAACACTTAGAAAATTCTTATGATTATTCGTCCTTGTGATGTGCATCTTTTGGATTAACAGAAATATTAGATCACACATAATTCCTTTTTTTGCGCAATCTTAAATATATGCTTCAGCTACAACGAGAAAATTCTATCAACCTTACCTTTTCTCTTTCTCTTTTCTTTTCATTTGTTTTATGTTTTACTTCATTTCCAACTCCTTGCAAATGGCGATAATTGTGATTTCCATTTATCTTCCTGTCTTTCTTTGGTGGGACCTCATTTTTTTCACCTTCCTTTTTCATTTGTTTTATGTTCTAACCCCTTTTCCCTATTCTCTAACTCTACCAGGCAATTGTTAAGATTTCTGTGTCATCTGTGTCTGTTCTTTTGCAGGACCTCTCCAAGCTGAACAGGGATCCATCAAGAATTATATATGTTAGTGGTAACGCATTAGAGAGTAGCCTTCAGCCAGAGAATTGCGTAGAAATAAAACCATGGAAAGGAGATGTGGAAGATACCACACTTTTGGATCTTATTCCTTTTCTTGAATGTAAGCATGTCAATAACAGATGACGTATAGAATCAGGTGGTCACCATGTCACCATGCAAATCTCATTTTTAACGACTTCATACCTTGTGCATGCAGATGTTGGAAAGAATAGGCCAGCTGATATTCGAACTGTATTAGCTTCATACCAAGGACGTGATATCGCAAAGGAGTTTATTGAACGATCCAAGGAGCACCACAGGTCAAATTTCTTGTTGATTCATTTATGAGATATCGTTGTGTACTTGAATTGTATTAAATTCTTGAAGACTTAGAGCTTAAGATGATTCTGATTTATTTATTTATTTCCTTGTTTATTTATTCATTTTACCCCC